GAAAAAAAAAAAAAAAAAAAAAACATAAAATTACCATCTGGATAGTTCAGAGTCGGTGTCTCGAAGGATCGACACAAGGAGTTGAACTCGCGTCCATAAAACGTGATGTCAGAGTCACTCATATTTTTGTTCAATCCATCCATTCTACAGCATATTAGCATGTGGGAATATCTTCTCAGAAAGTGAGAGACTTACTGATCTACAGACACAGGAATATAGCCAACCTTCTTCTGCGGCATGATATCCGGTACCAGCTCTTTCGGGGCCTGGGATACGATAAGATCCACATGCTTGAGACGTTCCCGCAGGAAGTCCCACAAACGTGTCGAAAAGTCACTCGCATCCTGCAACGCGCTCCGTTGGACTTGAAGTCGATTTTCAAAAATAACTGGTCGTCCCGGATCGACCTGTTTCGACAATAATGCTGCGGGAGTAAGGGGCACGTCGTCGATGACTACAATGTCTGCACCGCCCTTGGAACGAGCCTGCAAAGGATCATCTTCACAGAGCCAGTATCGTCGGGCGTTTTCATAGACCCATTGCAGAATACACATTTCCTCTTCGATGGTGATGGAATCATCCCTTCCACCCAATCCTTCTAGGGTATCTTGCATCTTCCGAATAATGCTATTCATCCCTGGACGTGGCTTCGGGACATACCTAAGACCACAGGGTTTAAGCCGCTACCACATTTGCAGAATCTAGAAGGCCTCCTCACCATTGAACATTGACCCCCAGATAATGTAAGAGCCTCACCAGTGAGTGCCTCGTATGGATATCCGGTCTCCCATGCGAGGACAAGCTAAAGAACGCAATTTTCACATTCCGTCGCTTGAGTTCGTCTGCATAATGTTGAGCAATGGACCATGTCCGAGCATTCACCGTCTCCTGGTAGTCTTCCAAATCGGCCAACCGCACTCGAAAATTCCGGTCAACGCCTACCAAGCTCCCGAGACCAATCTCCCCCTGCAGGACATGGCCCACGCCGAAAGACCTGTGATTGATCAGGTGTGTGTACCCTTGAATCTAGACCTATCACGTATACATACCGCATACACTTTCTGACCATGGAGTCCGCCTGTTCATCCAGCTCCTTGGTGTTCCATGATGAGAATGTCGCCAATTCGCCTTGGTCGGCATCCGCCCTTGCACGTTCTTTGTGTTCCAGAACTAGAGGTAGAATATCCAGTTCCCGCCAGAGCTGAGGACCGAAAGATGGGTACTTGTCGGCCAGGGACAGTGGCATGGCCAGACCTACGATCTTTTCCATGTGCTTCTCACTGTACGTCCGCAATTCGGAGACGATCCGATTGCAAACCGTAAGAGAGGACTCAGCAGGCACATCAAACATGACATAGTCGAATAGGTATGCCGAATTCCGAAAGGCGATGGCGGCCCTACTATCTCCGTAGTCGCGTTGCGAAATGGAGATGCCGGCGTAGATTGTCTGTTTTATGGAGTTATTAAAAATATCTACAAGAAACAAACGCATAATATTGTAAGGAAACTCTCTCCGTACAGTCAACGACCGACCGGTCCAAGATATCGCTTCAATGATATCTTTCCCCCGTGTCCTCCGTTGCTGCAGCTTGGACATATTGATAAATTCAGTTGGAGTTCAAAGCTTTCCGTATTAAGGCTCCCAGCTTGATCCCTTTACAACAGTCTGGAATATGTTGTAGGAGAACATTGTAAAGAAGGGCTGATATGTCGAGATACAACGGGAGTCCGTTGTGTTTCAGAATTCAGGTTCAGGACATATCTGATGGTGTGCAGCAAAGTTAGGGATCCAATCCACGACCTATCGACAACTTCCCTCATCCTGACATCTGGACCGTGTCCGCATAAAATCTAATTTTTGCCGTTCGAATCTAGATGGAGTTAAAAATGGAATGATCAAATCAGTGACCTTCCTCACACTACAATTTTCCGAACTTTATCGTCACACCACCCTCACGTATTTCTGCCGAGTTATATGTCACAATTACACTGCTTCATAAACTCACGATATCTAATTATATGTCTATTGAACACATGAAGTCCTTTTCCACCCGAATTACCGCATATCGACTTCACAGCGATGGATATATCATGTGACAACACCCAAACAGGAAATCGCAGTCAATTGACTTTCACATGCAATGACATCATCATCGGGTCCCGGTTTTGATATCGAAAAGAAGAAAAAAAAAAAAAGCCCATATAAAGACATCAATCTTCATTTGCTCTCGATCTCACATCAATCCCTCAGAATCTTTCAAATAAATACCAGAAAACACAAGATGGAAGATCCAGGTACATATCAAACCGCCTTCCCAAACCTCTTCAGTAACAGTTTAAAAGCCTAACATCCAAAACCACAGTCTCCGAGATCCCCACGGTGATCCAGCACCTCACGCAATCACCTCCGGCGCAACAAGCCCAAACCATCGAGAAATACTTCACCCCAGATGCCTCCTTCGTCCACCCTTTCTGCCGAATCCAGCATTTCCGAGGCAGCCGCTGGGTGGTGCAAAAGATCTACCAGTGGTATAAAGTGATGTCGCCGCGCATTGAGATGAAGATTCATTCTATTGGTTCGTTATTCTTTTTCTCTCGTCATATCAATCCGCTATATATTTCTCTATAGTAGAATATATATGATTGGTGATTGATGCTAATGGGATACAGCATATGATTCCGACAACAAAAAGCTCTACGTGACCATGTCCCAGGTCTTCACGATCTGGATTGTTCCATTTCATGTTGCGCCTGTGACGCTGACGACTGTGTTATCGTTGACTACTAATCCGAATGGTTACTTATCTTCTTCCCAATCTACAACGGCGTCCTCTGAAAAATCACACGAACCAAAAGAAGAAGAAGGAGGAGGAGGAGGAGTAAGCTACGCCGACGTCGTGGCCAACGGCAACCCAGATCACAAAACGCCCCTAACCGCTCACACCAACGGCCACCACAAACTCTACTACATCACCAAACAAGAGGATCTCTATCAAACCTCGGAATTTATCAAGTTTGTCCTCCCGCATATCGGGCACTGGATTGTATTGGCCATACATGCGTTCGCGACGGTGTTCTGTGTGCTGGGGGTTTTTCTGTGGTGGCCCTTTGTGTGGATGGAGGAGAAAGGGTGGATCCCTGGAATGGTTTTGAAGGGTGGAAATATTGCTTATGATATTGGGTGGAAGAAAAGAGCGATCGGGTCTGGGTCTGGGTCTGGGTCTGGGTCGTCTTCTTAGGTTGTTTGACAAGGAGGGGTGGGGGCTTGTGTATTTGGGGCTTAGGCTTGGGATGTCTATGTATATAACTACATCATCTAACTGTATATTGATAGATTGAACGGTGTTCATTGGAAAGAACAGTTGCACAGGCGCCAGCCTCCCCCTACTAGTACTAGTAGTATCGCTGCCTGCGACAGGACCACGTCAACTACCGCTGGCTGATGAATTCACCGGCAAGGCTGAAGCTGCACCTCCAATTGAAAAAAAAAAAAAAAACAAAAAACAAAAAAAGAGGAAACAAAAGAGATACTGCAACCGACAGCCAATCAATATTCTCAAGTGGGATTCACTGACTCAGGACCATAAACTCCCCGCTGATGCAAAGTGATGTGGCAGGTCTTTCAGCTCGAGTGGGGAGACTCGACTCGATTCACCACGGCTGAGTGAATCGCTGATTGCAATCATTGGGTCATACCGAGAGAAAAGGCTGACGGCGTGACGCCACAATGGCATATTCACACATCTCAAGTACATCAGTGAATATATACTGGGTCTACCATGGCTTTCAATCATTTTCGATCAGAATAAAGAGATATTCGTGGGTGGTTGATGTGTCTCCTCCATATACATTCTGCGACCGTGGTCGACAAGCCAGACATAGCATATAGCTCTCATTTTCCAACATACTCTGGGGTCCCCTCACCGTCTACACTTGCGTCCAAGGAAAAGCGTTCATCTCATGCGGACTAGGATACGTCCGACCGTCCCTCAAAGTATACTAGACTCCGCTGTGAGATCAGCAGAATGGGATCCGCAAAGTAACCATACCCATACGAAAATATGTCAGACACGACGCTAATAGACTGCGCCAGGATATGCTTTGACTTCGCCCGAACTGGGTCCTGCAAGTTCAAGAATTGTCGATATTCCCACGAGGCCGGCCCGTCAAAGCCTGCAGCCAAAGGAAACAACTCGAGATCGAGCGCGCGAAGGCAGCAACCAAGTCATAGAACCAACGACATCAACGGCCTTGCCGCCTGGAAACGAAAAGCCCCTAAGAGCCGACTAGCTATCCCGCCTCTGGGTGCAGAACTGGGCCAGTTCTTCGCAACGGCCAGAAGGCTGATCGAAGTGGACGACGACAGTACGGCTCAAGAAGTGATCCAATGCCTCTCCCACGAGGGGGGTCTGCAACGAATCCAGGAACTCATTCAGCGTGACTATTGTCTGATGCCAAATGTCACCAAACGAGATGTATTTCAAAAGCAGTTCCTCCCCTTTCTCGAGAGTATCACTCACCACAAAGTTCTCGCGTCATTAGTGATGGAGGAGTTTGTGGTGAAAATCTACAACTGCATCTACGGACCAGCCGGGCATCGTGCAGAGCCATTTCTGAATTTTCTGGCCGATGTTGTACAGCTGGACGTTGAACTTCACTCAGATGCAACCTCGACTTACCTAGAACTAGCGCTTCTGGTGTTCTGTAAGATTATCGAGCTGAACTCGACTGCGTTCATCCAGGAGTCGTTGAAGCCAGTAGCGAGGCGCCTTTACGACCTCTTCATGATCCTTCACGCCTTGGAGGCTGCTGGGTCACTAGACCGACCGCGGCATCACCTGGAAGTATTACAACGCCAGCTGGAGATTGGATCCGCCCTACCCCCTTTGCTGGGCAACTCAATACCTCGACAAGCCCATAAATCTCCTGTAGCCTTTGTCACTCTGAAAGACCCGCCTGGTGGTCGCCACGACAACGATCATGCGGACATTTGCAGAATCAAAATCATGCCTACTTTTCAGGAAATAATGAGTCCGCGTTCAGAATATCTCCCCGGAAAAGACCCGCAACAGTGGCATATCGGCGGTCTCGGCGGGCTCTTGGACCGAAATTTTCGGCTCCTGAGGGAAGACACCATCGGTCAGCTTCGAGACGTTATTCATGCTGAACTGAGGCCCAGCCGTTTAAGAGATGTGCAGAAGAGTCAAGTTAGGACCAATGTCTATCAGGACGTCCAGGTACGGGGGCTGGATTTCGATCGTTTGACGGGATTTCAGTTTGTTGTCCAGTTTGCACAGCCGTTGAATGTCAGGTCCATGTCGGAGGCTCACCGTAGAGAATGGTGGGAGCTATCAAAAAGACTACAATCCAGTGCCCTCGTTTGCCTCACGGATCTCCGAGGATTCGCCATCTTTTGCACCGTCGCCGGGCCAGAGCGTCCCAGAATGGATGTGAGGCAAAAACCGCGGCAGAGGAAGGTCTCCTCGCTGTTTAAGGAGGCGAGAGGTGCATCTGTGACCATGGAGTTGGTGGAACCGACTGAGGAGAATCGGCAGTATATCCTAGATTGTTACCGACCGCGCAACGGCGGACGCGCACTCTCGTTGATCGAGTTTCCTGGGATTCTATTGCCATCGTTCCAACCAACCTTAAAGGCACTTCAGTCAATGAAGAAAGCTGCAGACCTTCCGATGTCCGAATTCCTCGCCCCAGACGAGATGCTTACCGGCCTAGTAGACATGCCACCTCCCAAGTATGCGGCGGTGCCAGGGTTTAGTTTCAACCTATGTTGTCTCATGGACGACCGGTCGGACCTCCTAGTGAGCCCGTCGCAACCCCTTGACATGGAGAAGCTCCAAAAGAAGTCTACCCTTGATGATGCACAAGCACAGGCTCTTGTCCATACCCTTCAGCGAAAGATAGGACTGATCCAAGGCCCACCAGGAACGGGCAAAAGCTATACTGGTGTCGCTCTGATCAATGTCCTGCTCGCTAACAAGGCGAAAGTAAAGCCACAACTTGGCCCTATCATATGTGTCTGCTACACGAATCACGCTCTCGATCAGCTTCTAGAAGACCTACTGGACAATGAAATCACGACCCAAATCATCCGTATCGGCTCGCAGTCCAAGTCAGAAAAACTACAGCCACTCAATCTCAGAACCGTAGTTCGACAGATTGACAAAACAAGGCTGGAAAAGGAAGAACAGTGGAAACTGCAAGTGAACTTCGATGATTACGAAAACAGTTTCGATGCACTTAAACTGGATGCAATAGGCACCGATCGAAGCTTGGAGTTCCATCTGAAGCGAAACCATCCTCGCCAATTTAGTCAACTGTTCGGCAAGGACGAGCATGATTTTCAGAAGGCTTCTGGTCGACGCCGTCAACATCTTCTACAGACGTGGCTTAGATCTGGTCCAGCAACTAAGGGCCAGCCGCGTGCGGTGGACGTCCTTCATCAGGTCCATTTGGACAACATGACCTCTAAGGAACGCAGAATATTACACAACCATTGGATCAGAGAGAGTAGACAAGATCTTCATACTCAAGCTCACTCAATCTTGGCGTCGCACCAGGAAAACAAAGCGTCCTATGATAGGATCCGAGACGAACTAGATCTGCGATGCCTGCGTAATGCCGATGTAATAGGAGTAACGACGACTGGCTTAGCCCGCAATCTGAACATGCTGCGCAGACTGCAATCAAAAGTGATCATTTGCGAGGAGGCGGGCGAGGTCCTAGAAGCTCATCTCCTCTCTTCACTTTTACCATCGGCCGAGCAGGTCATCCTGATCGGAGATCATCAGCAGCTTCGGCCTCAGATCCAGAACTACGGGCTTTCTCGAGAGAGCAGAACAGGACAACAATACTCCTTGGATCGCTCCCTGTTCGAACGCCTTGTTGAACCGGATGATGACGTTGGCATAAGGCTCCCATTTTCTACACTGGAAACACAACGACGAATGCATCCCTCAATCGCACAACTGGTCCGAGACACATTGTACCCTAACTTACAGGATGCACCTTCAGTTAGTCAGTATCCTGAGGTTGCAGGTATGAGGAAAAGGCTTTTCTGGCTTGACCATCGCCGGCCTGAAGGCAACCCTTCGATCCAGGATGCCATGGCAACATCTCACTGGAATGATCACGAAATTGAAATGACATCGACCTTGGTAAACCATCTGCTCCGCCAAGGAACATACCAAGCAGGTGACATAGCTGTTCTGACTCCATATCTTGGCCAACTTCACCGAATGAGGCGTAAACTAAGCCAAGCATTCACAATCACCCTTGGAGAAAGAGACCAGGACGACCTTGACAAGGCAGGCTTCACAGAAGATGAAAGACCGACGCCGCCGAGCGCAGTGTCTAGATCTACCCTCCTACAGGCACTGAGAGTCGCGACTATTGACAACTTCCAGGGTGAGGAGGCAAAGGTGGTGGTGATCTCTCTGGTGAGAAGCAACGGTCAAAATCGATGTGGCTTCCTCCGCACACCAAACCGCATCAATGTTTTGCTTTCGCGCGCACAGCATGGAATGTATATCATCGGTAACTCGGACACCTCAAGGGGTGTAAACATGTGGCATAAGGTTCTTAGCATCTTGGAAGAACATGATAACTTTGGCACAGGCTTAGAGCTCAAATGCCCCCGCCACCCTTCTACTCCTATCACTGTATCACAGCCGGACGACTTCGTGCAATTTTCGCCTGAAGGAGGTTGCAGTCTGCGATGCGGCAAGCGTTTACAGTGTGGTCACCCGTGCAAGCAGAAATGCCACTCAGAGATACTCCACCAGACGGTCTATTGCCCAGAGCCATGCCCGCGTCCACAGAAAGGATGTTCCCACCCTTGTCCCAAAGTTTGTGGCGACGCGTGTCCGAAGAGATGCGGCATCATGGTATTTGATGCAGACCGGGTCCTCCCTTGTGGTCACTCAATGGCCAGTCTTCCTTGTTGGCAAGCACAAGATCTCAGTCTCGTTAAATGTCCAATATTTGTCAAAAAGCACGTCCCTTACTGCAACCATGAAATAACAATCGCCTGTCACATCGATGTGAGCAAGCCCGAGTACAAATGCACGCGCCAATGTCATGCTGCTTTACCCTGCGGCCATAACTGTAAGCGTCAATGCAGTCAATGTATGATTCAGACAAACGAGAAAATCAAGGCAGATCATGGGCCATGCAAGCAAAGGTGTGACCGTCTCTATTCCACATGTGCCCATACCTGCGCAGGAGAATGCCACGGGGGGGATCCGTGTCCGCCATGCACAGCGCCCTGTGATGTCCAGTGTGGTCACTCCAGATGTTCTCAAAAATGTTCCGAGCCATGTGCCCCTTGTGCAGTATCAAAATGCCTGTCTGCGTGTCCACATAGCGCGTATTCCATGCCTTGCGCCGCTCCGTGTGATTACATTCCATGCTCTCGACGATGCGAGAAAGTTCTACCATGCGGCCACCAATGCCCATCTTTATGTGGTGAACCTTGTCCAGCGGAAAAATTCTGTCAAACATGTGCGACCGACGCCATTAAGGATATATCTGTGGACTTCATCTTGGGTCAGACGTACAAAGAGATTGACCTAGACGAAAATCCTTGCATATTTCCCCCATGTGGACATTTTCTAACTGTGGAAAACATGGACGCTCAAATGGACCTTGGGAAACACTATGTGGTTGATGAAATGGGAAAGCCGATCTCCATCTCCAAATCATCCGAGCCGTTCTCCATCTCGGACGTTCGGAACTGTGCCACCTGTCGAGGTTCGTTAAGAAGTATATCCCGATATGGGAGGCTGGTGAGGCGTGCCTTGCTGGACGAAGCGACGAAGAAATTCATTCTGTACGTAAATCAGCAGTACGTACAGATGACTCAGAAACTTGCCCAATTTATAGCTCAGCTGCCAGAGCACGAAGGGACGGCGGTAGCAAAAGCATTCCAAAATGAACTTGCTCTCAAGGTTCAAGGGCCACCTGACCACCAAATCCAATTGATGCACCAGCAGCTCAGGAAGTATGATACGACAAGGTGGAAAGATTTAATCCTCCTGCGGCATCAAATTACAGAATACTACAACAAAGTCAAGGTGGAGGAGCAGCCATTCAACCAAGTACGCAACATGGTGGAAGATGCCCGTCGTCGCAAACGAAAAACCGGGCAATTTGAATTCGACGAGAGTGTGCTTCAGACGAAAGGATGCGTTCAAGCAGCTTCTCTGTTGCTTCGCCTCGACACGGCATTGATTGGGGACTTCCTCTCTTTGTATAAACAAACCCCTAGCAAGTCCAACAAATGTGTTCTACAGCTTGACCTCCAGGCAAACCGAAAGGAAGGTGAAAGGCTGACAGCCATGGCTGTCAACTCACAGCGCGTATTGCACCAGGTCGAGGGCTATCTTTTCCGCGCTCAGCTGTGTGCCCTAGAGCGCCAGAGCAGCGGTCAGCCAACTCGGGCAGAAGACCTTCTAGAAGAGGGTAATGAGTGCATTGAACGAGCCCAAAAGCTGTGTACGGCGCACCCTGGGCAGGTGCGTGGACTTGCTGACGAAATTGAGGGCACTTCGAAGATGCTCCGCGGCGGTACGTTTTACACACCCGTGACCAGTGAAGAAAGAATGGCTGTTGTCGCTGCTATGGCGCGGGAATTTAGAGGAACCGGACATTGGTATCGTTGCGAGAATAACCATCCTTTCACTATCGGAGACTGCGGTGGTGCTATGGAAATCTCCACCTGTCCCGAATGTGGTGCACGTGTAGGTGGTCAACACCATCGGACCCTAGCTGGAGTGACCCGTGCCGATGAATTGGAAGTGAACTTGGCCCGGTTAATGATTTGACACTATGCAATCTGAGAGTCCCAGTGGAGATCAGTGTTTGATGATGACTTTGTTTCCAACAAAGTGAGGTAGAAGCAAAAGACCATTGGGCAACCTCCCATCGAAAGGATTGATTCTTCACATCTTGTGGGGTTGAACGAGTTTGAAGAATGACACACTAAACAGTGTAGTCACGGAAATAGACGCTTCATGAGCAGGATCCGCAAGGGGTGTTTCCCAAAGTAGTGACTGCCACAAAGCACAGTAATACATATCACCAATATTCACATTTCTATCTACTTGTAGGGGTATCAAGAAGAGACAACACCAGGTCCAGCTTCAAGCAACCAAACTCCAGACTCATAGAAACTCAACGCCATCAATTGTCAAGGTTATTCAAGCAAACTCACCCGTACTCCGTCCATACCCATCGTCCCTGCAATGTGATCCATCCAGTCTGTCGTAGGCGGCTTTCTGTAGGTGGGAGTGATCAAGGACTCTACTACTAGCTGCGGTGCATGTGGCGAGTCCGGAGGTGTTAAAGGGCGTATCAAAGAACCTTCGGAGCTGGCTGGGCTCGAACAACTATCCCCCGAAAGAAGTGGACATTCTAACTCGAGCGAGGTTCGCTGTGTCGGATCTATGGCAAGGACCAGCTGGTTGAGGATCAAGAGGCCCGAGCCAACACCACTCGCGAAAAGTGCCGAGTAGCCGTCGAGAAAGAAATGTGGAGACGGGCCGATGAAGCTCTGTCGAGCATCTTGACCAGTACGACGCATTGACACCGAGATACCAAACTCCGTGTTAATCCCTCGAAGCGCCGCGCGGGCAGCCTGAACGCTACGCAAGACGTCCGGCTGACGCCTAGCCCTCTCCTCCAATGAAAGGGAGAGCAACTTGCGCACTTGCTTTACATGCCCGGGTATCTTCAGGACCTCGAGAAAGCCACGCTCCACAACATCCGTATACAAGGATGAATCGGGCAGCTTGGCATTGTTCGCGGCAATTTCTTCATTGAGGGCCTGCCACTCAGGCTCCTGCAGAAAGCATTCTTCCCCAGATACCAGGGCCGCTGTGACTAAGAAGCCTCGATAAGCGACATACATGGCACAACCGAACCCATGAAGATGAGCCGACGGACCCCGGAGCTTCATCAGTGTTCGGATCCCTGACGCATGTTTGAGCCACGAGTCTGCATCTGTACAGTGGTGCTTCTCATAAACCGCGAGGGTAATAGCTGTCGCCAAGGCCTCGTCTGATTTGGCCGTAGAGACGTCGGACAACAACCCGCCAAGGCACCGCAAGGACTGAATATACATCACCCGAGCTTCTTTCAGAAGTCGCTGGTCATTGTGCACAGCACCTGCATAGGAGGTAGTGCAAGCGCGGAGAGCCCAATCGAAACATGAATTAGTCCCTCTCCGATTTTCGACATATTCCACCCAATTTACCGGCACTTGGGTCTCGGTGCATTTGAAATAACAGGGAAAAGCTGATAGGACGAAGTTGGTGAATACTTGGGTCTGCAGGGATGAGGCGGCGGTAACGGACAGCGAATGCGACACCGTTTCGTTGATCGGAAAGGCAACCGGCAGATACTGGATATTGGACCGGGTCGACCTCAAGGGAAGATCACCTTCACGATCCAAGACCGATGAGAGGCGCGAGGGCTGCGACGACGTCGACCGATATTTCTGTCGCAAGGCCGGGCCTTGGTCGCGGAATTCGATCGCTCTGATTTGGCGCAAACAGGGTGTGTTGAGGCTTTTACATCGTGCGCAAGGGTTCCTGCCATCGCACTGTAGTGGGGGGTTAGCGTTATCATAGGCAGGATCAAGGAATCAGGCATCATTGGCTGGTATCCAGAAATAAATCAATGAATTGACGCCGGGCTCCACTTCTCTGCAAGGGCCATAATCTAGATCGAGATGAGAGATCGGGATCTCGGCATCTGTGTTGGTTTTGAGGGGCAGTGGGATAGTGCCACTGGGGGGCGATTTAGAAGAGAATGCGGTCACAGCACAACATTCAGAGGAAATTTGATTGGTGCGGGAAAAGCATGTTCATTATACATCACACTTAGGCAACAGTGAATGCTCAGGGGGTGGGAAACAAGCATTGGTAGGAACAGGCTACACGGACCTTAAGGTGGGCGTCAATGCAGCCACGACAACCGCGTGGCACTCGAACCATTGGCGCAGGAATGAAGCAGGGCGCCTTCGTTCTCGTATCCGGTCCCGTTCGGCATGGAGCAAAGCGTTAGTCTCAAACGACTGACGCAGTAGTTTCTTTCAGAATGGAGTCATCGGCTGGCGGTTTAGGGGAAATTGCCGGGGAACAAAAGAGAGTAATAATGTGAAAGGGTGGAGTTGACACAGTGGGCCGGGAAAGAGCCACCACCCTGACCACCACTACCACTACTAGGGCGTGGAACCTCCCATCGGTGTTCCATCATTCAACGGGAACATACAAAACCAATGGAGTACACTAATAAATTAAGCCCAATATAGTATTCTTCAGGACCACAACACCTTCCACACCTTTTTCCAATACTTCATAGTTCATGAGAAACTTAGTCATATCCATCACTGACCCTTTTTGTTTCCCTTTTTTCATCGCATTGGTTCATGGGAACTCAGGCCTCAACAGTAAAATACTAATAGCGTGCGAATCGAAAGGAGATTACCTTATTGTTCCAGTTGCCTTTCAGTCCTGCTCAATACGTTAAGCGCCTGGTCTACAGTGATGCGAAGGGAACACCTGGTAGGAATCGCGTCAATCCTTGAATAACCTGAAGGAGGGGGGCGAGTTATGAATTTCGCACTTCTGCGAATTTTCGCTCTAGCTTGGACAGCTTGCAATCTTCCAAACAGCATTAGAAACACCGTCCATAAGGTGTGCCGGCTTAACTCGCCTTTTCCCATCTTTAGATTATGGTTAGATCTCATCTGCATTGGTTTCCACGTTGGCTGCCACTCGGCTGGTAGACTCTCCACAAAGCCAATCATTTAGAAGACTAAAACTTCATCCTCTCCAAGATACCAGAATGGATATGTCGTGAATCCGAACGAATAAATCTATATCTTATATTTAACCAGAGGTTGTTGTTGTAAACTATTAGAGGAATACACTTACCATGCACCCTGCGCGCCACAAATCGACGTGATAATCAAAACTGCCTGGCAAAGGTGCGTCATCAACACGGACCAGCGGCTCGATTTCTAGGGTCCCAAGAACTTCAAAAAGTTCGTTTTCTGATTAATGGGATAGATTAGTGCAGCTAAATGCCATGTTTCCACCGCTTATATTTAATACTATGTAAGAGACACTTTCCCCAACTCCCGGGAATACAGTTGGAAGAGAGAGCTTTCTTACCACCGTGACACATGCCGACACTGTGTATAAACTCGAGAGCTTTCAGAAGCTGTCTAGACATCCGAAGTACAGTTTCTGGGCAGATTTTATCAAGGCTCTCGCGGTAATCCGCGAGGACTCTATCAACATAACGGTCAAGCAACTCAAATACAAGGCATTGGTGAACTCCGTTAGGGCCTTCGTGAGTGAAAGAATCAAGTAGCTGAACAATATAGTTTGAAGCAAGTCTCCCTCGAGAATGCCTTTCCAAAACTTTCAAGTTTTCCAATTCTCGTGAATCCCGGGCATTTGCTGTCATGATTTTTAACAAAACCCATCGGTTTCGGCTGGCATACAGTTAGCCACGGTAAGGCAAAATGCTCGATCAGTTGATCGACTAACTCTCTATCACCCGCAAGCCAAATGGTAGAAAAGCCGCCCCAAGCTAACCTATGGTATACTTTGTAGCGGCCATTCTTAAATGTATCTCTGAGGGTGATCGGGTGATATCCCCCCGGTCGGTATTTTGACAATGATTCTTGTGTATAGAGGAGGTTATTTTGGCATAATAAAGACATAGTTTAACCGGGTTAGCGTGCAGATGTATGTATATACATGGCTTGAAGTTGTATGTACACACCTAGGCAGGGAGTGGTCCCTGAGCAAAAAGCAGCGACATATCGGGCCGAATCCGGAAAGAGTAGTACCCAATAGTACTAGACTGCTAACTACTACCTAGTAAGAGCCCTGGCTAATTTCTTTAATTAACCAATGCGGTAGTACTACCTACTCAGGTAGTATTTCGTCTTAAGCTACCACATGTAACAAAGGACCACACAAGAGATTAGGTGTGGACATCTGAGGTATCCACCGTCCCGGAGGAGGAGTAGATGTATATATATATATATATATGTATATCTTTCTGTATGTATACCTAATCTCTGTATACCTTGGGTTCGGAACATCTCAACTCTAAAAACTACATTTGAAGGCTCAGTCATGCAAATGCCCGCCAACATTCGAACATGTCAACATAATCGTCAATCCATCCCCTCGCCATATCAGGAGAAGCATACACTCAATCAACCATCTCGAGCTTTCTTTTCTGCAAACTGAAAGGAAATAAATTTGTCAATCAAAGCCATAGAGGTCAACGAGACAAACCTTTTCCTATGATTTTTCCATGATAAATGCTCCCGGAAGATAAGGCTAGAATATAGCACATTCAATCGAGACTGGGGGAAAGTGTACAGGAGAAGCGGTCCGACCGTAGTACCACCGATACGGGGCACCAGGTAGACAAGTACAGGGACAGGCAGTAATGGGAATCCTAGACGCAAAACGACCAAAAAGATAATAATAAACACAAGACAGAAATGGTTATGTTAAGATAAGAAAAGGAGAAAAGAAAAAACCAAGACTTCCGACCACGCCGGATTCGCCGAAAAGAAAAAGGAAAAAAGAAAAAAAAAAGAAAAGAAAAAAAGAAAAAAAGAAAAAGAAAGAAAGAAAGACGTTTATAGGTCATGGGAGAGGAAACATACAAATGCGACCACCACCCACTCATACCAGTCCATCGTACAGAGACAGGGCGCTCACGATCGTCTCATCGCGCTTGCTACCCTCTTTGAACTCCTCCATGTCAAGGCTGCCATTCTCATCTTTGTCCATCATCCGGAAAATCTTGCGAACTCGTTTCTCCGGTGTGTCCTCATCTTCGGGGAGTTTCACCATCGAGCCCACCTATTCATCCGTCAGCGCTCGGTCACAGAATCCTTCCAATGCTAGCGGTTGACATACCATCTTATAAATCGCCTCCACGATAGCGAGCATCTCGTCGTACGTGATCTTACCATCGCCATCGATGTCATACAGCTGAAACGCCCAATCCAACTTATCCTCCATTTTGCCCCGCGATGTGACCGACAATGCACAAATAAACTCCTTGAAATCGATCATCCCGCTATTATCCGAATCGAAGACACGAAATACGTAGTTGGCGAATGATGATGGATCGCCAAAAGGGAAGAATTGTCGGTAGATCTTTTGGAATTCTTCCTTGGTCAAGGTTCCCGAGGGGCAGTCCTTCAAAAACCCTATACCGGAAAGCCTCGGTCAGCCCAAATACCTTTTGACATGTAGGGAAACACGTGTCGGCGCACCTTTATACCATTGCTGCAGTTCCTTTTTGTCGAAATGGGTAGCTTTCTGGAGCTCATCGAGCTGGGAGGGGGAAAGCTTCGACTGACTGACCGGTTATTGGTGTTAGCGCACACGGACTAACCAGTGAGGGAAATCACGACATCGCAGGAAAAAAACGGAAGAAAAGCTGAACAAGCAGAATGTGACGACAAGCGAGACAATTTGATCGCCAAGGCTGATGCTCTCAGCAAGGAAAAGACAGGGACTGCGCATGGGATCCCGCTTTGAATGTTCATATTGTTTTCATGGCTGTGAAGAGTACACAAAACGGAGAAGCACGCGCACTTACGATTTACCCATGATCACAACACGCGCCTCAAGACTGCTCCAGATTTATTGTAAAATATCACCTATAAGATTTTGTGGAGATCTTAATCTCACAGGCGGTTCCGATCTATTATGCGCTGAGGAGGGGAGTGCAAGATGCAGCTGCGGAAGATCGCGGGGTAAACGAGGTTTGGATTGATAAGATCGTGCGCCCCGTGGCCGGAGGGATCGTTTCACTGTATTAAAGACCGGATGAAAGCACGAGGCAAACCAGACCCGTGTAGAATTCAACCACGAAAGATTTGATGTAGAGCAGGGAAACGGGGAACAATTGGGATTTCCGATCAGCGGGATTTGGAAATGGGAAAATAGAAACCGGGGGGAGAGAAGAGTGATTAGTGGCGTTAAACACCGGGGGAGCCGCCGGTCCAGACCTTTGACCGCCAAGGGGAGAAGACGCAAGAGAGCTGACGCACTAGGGATCCACGCAGTAGTTTGCTAAGTTACTATATGCCACCCCAGGAAATCTCTACTTGTTACTGTGTTTAATGACTTCGTTCGTATATCATACAATACGTCTCGGTTGACCTTGTCCGTGCACATGAATTTATCAAATCCCACCCGCTCCACTAGCGCCAAACAATCTTCCAAACACGGAAACAGCATTCCCGTATACACTATGTACAGGTCGCGGACAATGCATCGGATGGAGTTAGTAAATGAAATACGAATGCGCGCAAGCTATACAGGGGATATTCGGAACAAGACTGCGGGGGAAAAAGAAAAGGAAAAAAGGGCCTCCATCATTTTGTACGGCGCGGAGGTAAAGAGGTGAGGCTGCCAAGCGTGGTGCCCGGTCAATTGAGGAAATACAGCGTCAAGAACGTTTCAGTCAACCTTAATAGAGCCATAGATGCGCTGTACGAATGCCCAACTTGCGAAAAATCCGATCGAGCCTGTAGATGAATTAGTTAGCGGCGATGGAACTAACATGGAAAGATAGCACAGGACTTACCAGTCAAGATGAAAACAACGAACCCAATCAGTGCGGAGTATCCGACATAGAGCACCGCACCCGTAAAACCGCCAAAGCTCACTCGGGTTGCCCAGAAAAGCAGCGCGTTGAGGAAGACATAGCCACCAGTCATACCGGCGCCAGCGAAAGCCCTCCACTGCCATCGGTAATTCTCTGCGCACAACAGGAAGTATACCAAGAGCACCGTTGTAGCCGCAGTTGTGAGGATCATCAGCCCGTAGCATAGGAACAGGAAACCAAACATGTAGTAGATCTTGTTGGTCCAGAGCGACGTCATAATAAAGTATAGCTCCACAAAGATCGCCCCGAAGGGAAGAATACCTGTCAGCAGCAACGAAGGGATGGTCCGAAGACTGCCAGTCATGGGAGGGACCTGGCGGGGAATCTGATTGGTCTTCGTGGGTCCTTCCACAGCCTAGGGAAAGGGTCAGCATACGTCCCAGTCGAGAATATCATAAGCATCACAAGCAAAGCAAACGTACACGCTGCTTGAATCCGAGCCAGCTACCCGCAACACTTAACGGCACGCTAATAACGAACCAAATCGCAACGAGAGCTAGCATAGTGCCGAAGGGCACAGCCCCACTGGAACCTTTTGCCCATACAAACAGGTTGAGCAAGAAGAAGGTGCTAAAAATAAAACCGGGAACTAGAACAGGAGTCATGACGATATTGCGCTTCCAAGCTTCTCCGCCGAACGATTTGTATACCCGAGCGGACACATAGCCACCGATAAACCCGAAAAGTGTATAAATGAGAAGGGTGGCTGTGGCTAAGAAACCACGATTGGCTGGGGATAGAAGACCAAAGAGAGCGACAACTAAGCCAGCCGATTAGTATGAAGAGATTGGCCATCACCACCAGATAAACTTACGAACTGTCGCGCCCGTCATCATGAAAAGCTGTGCGCCATTTCCAACAAGGACACTCAGCAGCAGGGGAGATTTCGGGCATCGGAAAACATCGCCATGTACTAACTTCCAGCCAGAATCCTCCTGGATACCATCTTCCACAGCGGCCGACGTTCCATCCAAATCCTCTAGGTTGATCATATCCAGCCGATTATACCGGGCGATATCCTTCCGGAGAGCCCTAATCAAAATCATGCTCACCATGCCGACCAGGAAAACCACAAAGACTGCGGAGTTGATCAGAGAGAACCAGTGGATTTTCGGATCGTAGACATGCAGATACTTATCCCAGCGGGTAGCCCAGGGCGTAGATGATTCACGCCAGTACACGCTGTACGTCCAAGTGACGCCAGTTTCACTATCCTCATCCAGAATAACCGGAACATCGCTGGATCCACAGTCCACAGTCCCGTCTCCCTGAACCTTGGAATTCCCGCGGGAGTCGGGCTGGACGAGCACGCCGACAACCCGATACTTGTCCTTGGCTCCGTACCCTACTGCGTGATACTCAATAAAGATATCAAAATGGTTGTTCAAGACCGCCTGTCCATTGTCGTTCAATGATCCCAGCGCAAAGCCCGGGTTGTAAAATTTAGCCTCCGTGACGGATTCCACGTTGATCTGGGCGCCGGGGAGTCCATCCACGAGCCAATTGAAGTTGTATCCTTGCACAATCCTCCGATTGGTAAATTTGGCGCTACGGGAATCGAACTTGGCCTCCTCCTTGCAGACAGCTTTGCACGTTTCGTTCTTGCCCATAAAGAGCTCGAAGGGCGACGATTGAATCCGATCGCCGAACAAAATGCTCCCTAGCGACTCACGTATATACTTAGGTCCATTTTCAGGGGCGCAGAAATGAAAAGCGGGGTGATAGTAGTCGTAGGAAAACACGGAATGGAGTTGCTCGTCCTGTTGCGCAAGCCCCGGGGTGAGATGGTTGACATATAGCGGCACTGATTGTCCTTCATCGTACGAGGTGGGTGCTACACCCGGTAAGTAGAAGGCCGTTGTGAGAGAGGGAGCCGCGAGAAGAAGAGAATATATGGAAAGCGTTCGTTTGCTGAACGCCATTGTGGGCGTGTCTGTACAATAACAAAGCGTAAAGATTAGCTCGTCCGTCGCCGCTCTGGGATACTATGTTGTTCTAGAAATGCATTTGAGTGACATACAAGTCTACAGTTGCCACTCCAGGAGATATCTTTCAGTGGCTCATTGGGCGGGTACCGCGATGGTTCAAGGGTAAACCGCTACCTCGGAGCAGGTCAAGCGTTGAGCTAAACGGAGATTAGACCTTTCGGGCGGAAATGATGGAGCAAAACGGCTTCGACGGTTTCGATGAGGCCAGCTATCGGTCTTGGCACACGTGATGGGTCCCTCGAGGCGGCTATCGGCACGTGTTGATAAGAAATCCAAAAATTTCCCTTGCAAATCTTCAGTTTACAGATCGCAAGTGGAAACGAAACAGTGCCACTCATCACATCACAATGGCGACCGCTACGCAACAGCCGGAGAATTCCGGTTTGCAAAATATTTCTACTCTATTGGAAACTATTACTGGCTGTCTGACCACTGCCGGATCATCCCTCCCCAAGGAAAAGCGAGACGCACCCTCCGAGGTGTCGATCGAGCCTCCGCAAGATGGTATATCACTACTAGACACCAAGAGCGACTTACTTCTCTCCTATACACACAATCTTGTTTTTCTGATGTTATTTCAATTGCGCGGACTATCAAAGGATCGTGATGGCGAAACTGAAACAAATCAGTCCCTGCGTGAGGAGACCGTCAAAAAGCTCGCAGAATTACGGGTTTACCTGGACCGCGGTGTGAGGCCTTTAGAGGGACGACTTAAGTATCAAATAGACAAAGTGATTAAGGCCGCCGAGAATGTGGAGAGAACCGAACGCACAGCCGCGAAGACCAAGGCAACCGAAGCAGAGTATTCTGGCAGCGACGATGGATCGGAGAAGGACTCGAGCGATGGTGAAGGTGATAGCGCTGAAGGAAGTGATGAAGACCAGGAAGATATCGATGAGATGGCATACCGACCCAACGTCTCGGCCTTTGCGAAGAAAGTGGAACCGGAAGCGCGGGCGGAGAGGTCTACCACGAAGGCCCCCAGCGACGGCATCTATCGCCCACCGAAGATCATGCCGACAGCACTTCCCACCACAGAAACCAGAGAACGCCGGGAACGTGGTCCGCGCCGGTCAACCGTTATCGATGAGTTCGTCAATGCCGAGATGTCTTCCGCACCAATGGCGGAGCCTAGTATTGGTAGTACGATCGTTCACGGTGGCAGACACACCAAGTCCAAGAAGGAAAGAGAACACGAGGTGGAACGAACAACCTATGAAGAAACCAACTTCATCCGATTGGCAAAGGAGAGCAAAAAAGACCGAGCCAAACGAGGTGGCCAGGCCGCCAAGAACACTTATGGAGGTGAAGAATGGAGAGGCCTTACTGAAGGCGCGGACCGCATTTCAAGGCTTACACGCAGGGCTAAGGGAAGTGGTGGCGCGCTGGATAGGAGTCGGAAACGCAAGCACGGCGAGGAGGGGCCGCGCGGTGATGGTGCAGCCGTGGGTCAAATCTTTGAGAAGCGGCGGAAGAAGATCGAGGGCTGGAAACGGTAGTTGCATTTATTTTCCTCGTGCCTTGAGAATACCGCATCTGTAACTATTTATTCTGATACCATTGGAGAAGCTTCAACAATTTATGTCTGTACGGCGGGGGCGAGTGTTTCATCAAGTAGCCATGCACATTCCATTGCAGATTGGATGGGGCCGTGGTGTATGCCATTTAACAGAAGGCATCTCTCGTATCACAAAGAGCCTTCAAGGAGTGGAGTCAGTGCTGGCCAGATATGCTTGCTTGATAGGTAAGGTAGCAGTGACAGCATATAGTGAAACTAATCTGGACATATATCAATAACCCGGTACAAAGCAGACCCTGTAGGGATGTTTTAAGTCGCTGACTGCAGGCTAGCAATCAAGCTGCACAAGTGTATATAGCATATATGGCCAGTCTCTTGCAGTAGAAGATCGTTTTGTATTGTATAACCTATTCCACCGTCCTTCACAGCTACTCTGCCGTAATGCGTTCTATCATCATGTACAAGGGTATCGGCGAGACCCAGAGGCCTCTGGTGACACAGGCTGGGTGCTCATTCTAATGTACCAAGGGCTCAAACGGGGAAGACGAAGAGACAAGAGGACAAAAAAGAAACGAGAAAAAGGAAATCATAAGACAGAAGGGAGCTTCATTCACACAACATGCTCGGCATATGTCGCACGAAAAGACATCAAAATGTAGGATATCGGCGTGTCAAGAATGTTCTTCAAATATCTTCGGCGAAAGGATAAAATAAACAACAAAAGAGAAATCGTGGATCATCGTCTATCAAAGAACCAGCTGGTGCGCTTTCCCGTCTCCTGGGACTGGACTCCGGCAACCGGAGCACTGCTCTCGGATCCTCCGCCGCCGCCGCCACGGAGCGGCTTCGCAATTCTCGAGCCGCCAAAGCTAAAACTGCCGCCGCTATCCATACTCGGAAGACCCCTGGTAGAGCCCTGCTTCGCAGCCTCGAGTCTCTCTTTGACAGCAGTGAGTTGAGCTTCAAAACTGTGGGGAATACTGTGGTTAGTCACGGTGGCATCCAGAAAGCAAATGTGATAAGTCCATACCGATGATTGGCCTGGGTGAGTTTCTCCTGGCTCTCCTGGAGCAGGCTCTCCAAGCTTGCGATGCGCTCGTTTCGGGCGATCAGTTTCCTCTCTGCAATAGCAACCTCCTTCTTCAAGCTGCTGTTCTGTTCTACCAGCTGCCGCTGTACGTGGGTCAATTGCTCAAGATTGCGCTCCAAGAATGCCATCTTCTTTTGCTGAGCGCGGTTGTTCGAAGAGCGCAACACGTTGTTGTATTGCTCGCGGGCGTCGTCCAGAGAAATCTCCAGTTCCACGACACGCTCACAGCGATTTTGCAGATCGCGCATGAGAGATTTCTTCATGGCATCAAATTCAGCAATCTGCTGCTGCAGGTTCTTGCCTGCGGCCCCGTTCGTCGACACGCGAGTTTGCGAGTCGGCAAGCGACTGACGCAGCTTGCTGAGTTCTTCATCCTTCCGCGTAATCTCCTTGCGAAGTTCCGAGGCTGCCTGCATTTCGGCATCTTTCCGGGTGATATAGACCTTTTCTAATCTCTCCCGAATCTCCTCGACATCCTCCTCTCCCAGGTTGCGTTCCAGAAGCTTCTCATAGTCCCGCTCGAGGTCAGCCAGCTTCTGCTCAACTTCGATCCTACGGCTGTCCTGCAGCTCACTCAGCTCGCCCCGATCATTCATGGTCAACTCGGCCTGCCGGATAAGACCTTGGGTCTCCGACAAACTCGTGCGAAGCTCCAGGAGGTCGTCCGGCGCAATGGTCTCGCCCGCTTCGCTAACCTGGTGTAATGCATCAACACGGTTGATGAGATCCTGAAGTTTGCGCTCGTTATCGGAGAATACATTGCCTCCGAGGTCAAATCCGGCCATCATCTTCGCCATCTTCTCCGCCTTTTTCTTCTCCTTCTCGTCTAGTGCGGCACTGGTCTCCTTGGCCTTCATTCGCACGTCGAGAAGTTGCTGCTTGACATCATCCAGTTCAGTCGTTAACTCCGAATTGGCCTCCCGAAGACCATCCATAGTGATTGCAGCCTCCTTGCTTTCATACGATACCTTCTCCAGCTGCATTCGGAGCTCGTTGACCTCGGTGTTCAACTTTTCGTTGTCCTTACCCGAGCGTGCTGAGTTCTCCTTCAATGCCCGGAGCTCTTCCCGTGCTTCACGCAGGCCCCTTTCGACATTGGCAATATGCGATTCCTTTTCAGCGATCTGATCCTGCAGCTCATTCTCGCGCCTGAGGAACTCCTCTCTCTCATCCTTCTCAAGTACAAGACTAGGGGTGCTCGAGCGATCGCCGACTCTCGAGTCGGGACGAGGAGTTTCCGATCGAGCCTCTTGAAGGCGAGATGGGGTGCTAGGGCGTGGTCGAGCTTCGGCCTTCGTCGCACTGACAACGTCATTCCTTCCTGGCGTCCATCGATCCTTAGGAACACTCTCGCCACTTCGCCATACATGGACCTCGGTCTCCAATGCCGATATGTAGCTCTCGAAGTTGGTCACCTGGCTCTGCGCTTTGCGTAGGAGCTGCTTCAGTTCGGCAGGGCTCAGTTCGGCATTAACCTTCGCCTTGTTCTTGATTGCCTTGGCTCGCACACCGAACCGCAAGGTCGAAATTGTTTCCGCATCGTTGTAGCTACTTGGAGAGCAGTTGATAATTAAGGTAGTTCTTGAGTTACCTCCCAAACTCTCCTGCAGGATTCGAGTGAGCTTCGAGTCACGATACGGAATATGGGTGGATTTGCCATCCGTCAGCGCGTTAATGACCATACCAAGAGCACTCAGACTCTTGTTGATTTTCTTCGCCTCTTCGAGTGTCTGACCACTGGCACCCGTCTTCCCAACTTTTTCGCTACCGGCCAAATCGACCAGGAAGAGTTGGCCACTCTTTGCAGAACCAGTCTCAAGATTCTTCTGCGTAACCGTAATGACGAAGATGGAATGGGAACGAGACGACTCCTGATTCATGTTGGTCGCAGCGACTGCTCGTGCCGTGCCACCACGGCGCATCACCTCGTACACTTCCTGCACACTAGAAACATAGACCTCCAGCAGACCCTTGACGTAAACACCTCTGGACTTTTCCTCGTGCACAGGAAGGTTATCGTTCTGTGGCACCAACAGATCGCGAATACGCTCCATATAAATTTCCATATAACTGACTCGCACCGTATACTCGATATTACTCGGACTAGTAAGGATGCTGGCGAAGATCTGTTCGACGATACGGGGAATGATACCTTTGCCGATGTCGTCGTCGATATCGGATCCCATCATCGTATATGACTTACCCGCACCAGTCTGACCATAGGCAAAAACCGTTCCGTTATAACCATTCAAGATATCGTCGACGGTGGGTCGGATAGAGAAATCGAAGATGTCCGTTTGCTTCGAGTCCATGGGGAAGACCCGGTCGAAGGTGAAGGAGCCGGTACCTTCTCTGGACTGTACATCGGTTAGGAATTTCAAAATTGACATCCAGAAGAAGGGTTCCAAAGGAGGGATTATCAGCCGGGGCCACGCACATTGATCTGACATGATTGCTCATTTTCGAAATCTACAATGGGTTCACCTCCGGAAGACAATTCAACTTTATTTTGCGGTCGGAACCTCGCAACCACTACGGAGAACTGGTCAGTAACACTACTCGCGAAACAGAAACATCAGTCTCCGGGAGGATATGCGCACCCTTGATAGAGGTGTTGGAGGAGTTAGGGCCAGATGACCTATCATGCCAGACATAAAAGTGTCAGTCTCCGCCGCTCTGGGCGTTGAAGCGGTGAATCAACAAAACTCACGCCATGTTCACTCTGACCCAGAAACCCGGCGACAGCTTCTAGGGGGGGGGACAGAATAAAACGAAAGAGACGAGAAAGAGAGCCCCACGAAGAGGGGGGAAGTATCGGAAATGTCGTTCAAATCAGTTGCACGAGAAGGTGGTGACTTCAGGTACGGTGGGCGATTTGTTGTTTGGGTCAGGGGTCCACGTGCACGACACCACTTGCGTGGGGAGTAATTTAGTGAGGGGACTCGTGATCTCTTCAAACCCCCCGGAGGCCAAAACAAAAAAAAAAAAAAGAAAAGAAAAGAAAAAGAAAAAAAAAAAGCAATCTCAGACAAGACCTGCCTCAGCCGGAAGGGCAATATACTACCACAGCGACAGGACTAGCTAGATCGACGTGAAAGAAACAAAGAGATGTGCGGTCTCGTTTCTTGTGTTTCATCAGAGGAGTAAAGTTGTAAAGGAAATCATAATAACACTAAATAATAATAATGCTTCGACACGAGCCGTTAGTCTCCTTCTTGGCATCGGCTGAAGACTATCTTGTCGGTCAACTTGTCCCGCATTTAATAAGAGTTAAATACCTTCGGCAAATGTCGATTTGCAGCAGTGGAATTAATGATAAGGTTTATTTAATTTTCACTAATGAAATGTGGGCAGCATTTAGAATGGTCCCATAAAAGACTCAGGAGGCGAAAGCAAACCACGCTATCGGTTAAGTCAAAGTGAAGCAGAGCGGGAAGGGAAAGACTAATAGACAGCAAGACAAAATTGAGGCAGAAAACATCATAAGCTAATGCATTATGCACCTCGCAACTGAAACATATGCGATTATCCACAAAAAGAGACCAAAGGGAGAATATGTACCAGGCGCCCAAACCCCGCGCTGTGCATGTCATCAAACGGCGTGTGAATCCTCCAAGGACAAGTCATGCCAACGGCGTGTCCGCCACCATTGACAGTATGCTGTCACCTTTTGACATGAGCAGACAATATTTGTTTCGTCATAAACGCCCACAGATAAATCATACCAAGAGAAGGGAATAGAAAACAATTAAGAGAAATAACCAATATCACATGTAGGGTCCCCTAGTCTTCCCAACTCTTCTCGACAGTCTCACGCACGCGCTTGACGTACTCCTTCCGGTTGTCTTTGTAGAGATTGGATGCCTCGACATTGGCAGGTGATGATGTGTTTGGGTCATTAAGCAGACTGCAGAAAAGCGGGAATCGATTAATACCAATCATTCACCATCACTAGTGGTCAGAGAACGTACCTTTGAATACTGGTGAGAATGGCCGCCACGTCATACGTTGGGCTCCAACGATTTTGCAAAATATCCAGGCACAGTTCGCCCGTGCCGTATACATTGGGATGAAACATCTGGCTGATGAATTTAACACCAGGGGGCTTGTTCGGGTACTGTTCTTCAAAGTGCATGACAAGCCGGAATGTGCCATCCTCAAAGGGCGTATCAGCAGGGCCGATAATAACGGCATTCCTAGTTAAAGAAACAGGATCAGCACATGAACCAGGGCAATAAATAACAATATTAATAACTCCGTGCACTTACCAGGTCATCACATTGTCAGCTACCGGGGAGGCCGAGACACCGGCAGGAGGGTCGGTTTGCATACGCTGTGCGCATGGAAGAGATTAGCTCACGAGATCAGGACGGGGTGGGAAAGGAACCGAGCCTCCTGGCCAAAACAATCATCATTCGAGTAGTACACATGAATTTATTGAGAAACAAAAACATAAACCACGAATTCTGAGCTCTACGAGAAATGCGTACCTTGAAGTCGCGCATGAGACGACGACGGGCAGAGGTCGACATTGCGGCGGGGTATGAGATCGGAGTATGGATGGGAGCGGGCAAGGGGGACTGCCAACACTGGGGTTAAATTGTGATACAGAAGACCAAGACAGTCTTCAGATCTTGAATCTCGGATACTTAACCGGACTCAAGTGTTGTTTTGAGAGAAGAAGGTCTGGATGTGGTTTGGGAAAAGAAGAAAGATGAGTAACAATGGGGGGAGGCGTGCAGATCCACTACAGACCGCTTGCTGTTTGGAGTGTTCCTACGATAAACGGCAAACCGCCACGGCTTCCATTCTACCCCTTTAACCATCCAAAAAAAGGTTCACTGGCTTTTTGCTTCTCCCTCTTTCCAGGCCCAGTATCATCCTCATCTTTCGATGGGGATTTTCTCATCCCGATTCCTCGGAATCCTCGCTCTACCAAGGTATGTACTAATATGTGCTGGGGAATCTTCTGTCCCGTGATCCGGTCCACTGGTCATTGAGAAGCTCCTACTGACTAAACCAAATGAGTCCTAGCCAAGTCAACTCGACATGGATTCTTCAACGCTAACGGCCGGAATTTACCCGTGTATATATCATCATGATCCTTCATGCTCTAAACCTCCAAACTAACGATACTTACCTTTTAACACTTATTATACGATTTATTACGAGAGTCTCTGTCTATCAACCGAAAATCTTAATTTAGCAAATCTATATTTGCTATGTCCTCCGTCAGATTGCTCAATGCTGACTGACATCGATGGCGTTTTGGCCAAATTTGACCCACCAACATAATAACTATTGTAGCTTTGACAATAGGGTAAAAAGAGAGAACAACTTGAATAATGGTTAAATTAAGCAGATGTTTATTCTTATAACATAGCATTCATTGCTGTAGTAAACTTAGTGGTAATTTATTCCTTAGCAAATAACTCCTTTGTATTTACGTACAGATGCAGTGTTCGAAATATATATTTGTCTCCGGCGTATCCATCATATAGCTTTTTGGAATCCATCAATGAACTAACACTAACTGTCAATAGAGAATTAGATGACATAGTTTGAGATATCAATTTACATAGTACGTAAATGCTAAAAAGCAATACATTGTAACCCACAGTGTTTGGATTTCTATTATTCTCTTGGTAAACACATTCGTCATCTACAGGAATGACGGGGATAAATCACATGATGTGGATTTAATTTTCTTCCCTTTTAATGCCCAGGAACTAGTACTAGTTGATATAGTAGTTACATGAGCATAAATGATTTGTCCGAAGCTACACACCCTATCGTGAACCCGGTATATGTAATCCCTCCGCAAGTCGAAGTGGTAGGTATTTATGCTCGTACGTACGTAGAAGTTGAAACCCCACCATCAAAACAACGCTACCACCGAACGTTTCCTGGGCTGAACATAGACTACTCAGAACGGTTCATAGATGAGGCGGAATTTCATACAAGGCGTCTAGAGCAGATGGGTTGGACAAAGGAATGACTTCGCGACTGACAGAAAGTCACTTAAGCCACTACTGCACTTTATAGGGGATAGTAACTGCGAAATTGTGGGACATTGAATGTGTGGTCCTTATCGGAGACTTAAAATCATGAATCCATGCTTGATACTCCGTACCAACTTAAGCACTGATATCCCAGCCATCAAGGAGGTTTCCTTATCGGGTAACGCGCATACCAGTCCTCAAAGACACATGACCTCATATCATGTGATGAGTCCCTGCTTCGAAACAGCCTCGGTCCAAGCGGATGAGCGGCGCGGTGGTTCCGCGCCCACGGTTGAAGCAGCAGTTACATCGGCTAGAGGCGGATTACTTTGCGGAGAAGCAAGTTGAAGGCACCTTGGAATTTGGACACCTATTTCTGAATCCGGAGGCAAGGTACTTATTATCTCTGTCTCCTCTTTC